TGAAGATGGCTCATAAAAATGATACAAACATTGGATAAAAAAGCCCAAAGCATGCTGTTGGGATAAAACACATCAGGGAAGACACCAACTAATATATATAAAATAGATAAACAATAACCTCACACTGTACAGCACGGGGAACTATATTCAATATCTTGTAATAACGTATGGTGAAAAAGAATATGAAAATGAATATATGTGTGGTCATGTATGACTGAAACTTTATGCTGTACACCAGAAATTGACACAACGTTGTAAATTGACTATACTTCAGTAAAATATATATATATATATATACAAAAAAAAGAGAGAGAGGACAGGGATTAAACTGAAGAGCTGGTTTATCTGAGAAGAGTAGAAGAGAGGTTTGGACCTTGGAGAGGAAAGATGAAGAATGGAAAGCTCATATAAGATGTGATCCGGGATGTGTGTGGTTAAGAGAGGGACACTCTTCAGAGGCATTTCTGTTTGGGAGTTAAACCCAGGTAAGCTGCCCAATTAACAGTCAGTGGTTCCTTGGAAGTTTCCAACTGAAATAGAAGCAAGGTCTACAGGTTTGATGGAAAATGGCTTTCCCAGGGATGGAGGAGGGTGAGTGAAACAAAATGAGCTCAGGCTGGAGCTAAATATAAGAGTGTATGCCAGCCACAAAATACATACCAGCCACAAGCACACACCAGACACAAAGTACACACCAGGCAGCTGGAGAATGAGAGGGAAGGACAAGTGGAGAACCCTGTTGCCACCTGAAGCTGAACCACTTCCATTGTCTGGGTACCACAGAACTTTGCCTCCAGCTTTTCAGTGTTCTGAAAGAGCCTTGCCTGTGAGATATTTCAGAAAAACTGTCCTGGGATCTGCTTTTTTGGTACCTTGTTCTTAGATTCCAAGCACACAGCAGGGTCTCAATGCTTGTAGAAATCCCACTGTGAAGAATTTCACTCAGCCCCCATTTTCTTAAATGTATTTGAGCATAGAATCCCTTCTTCCTGTAGTGGCTAGGAGCAACACACACTGAGATCAAACACTTAAAAATATATAACTATCTAATAAGGTAATTTTAAGAGAGTACCTGTATAAGGAGAGCGAAGGGCAAGAGAGAGGCGATCGTTTCAGGGTCTATGAAGGAAAATCTTGTCCCTCCTAGAAACTGGTGACTTGCTGGTGAGAACAGCCCAAGCACCTTTTGGTTCCAAACTGTTGTAGGCTGGATTCATGAAAGTGACACACAGCAGAGAGCGAGGAGGTCAGGCACACCGTCGGCCTGTTGCCAATGCCTCCTGGCCTTACCCCTTCAGCTGCTGATGCTGACTGAGCTGATCATTCTTAAAGCCAACATATGGAAAGATGAGTCTTTGTTTCTCTCCAGTTTTAAGAACAAGATCAGAAAAAAAAGGTTGGATTGAATGTTTCCCAGCAGGTTTTACTAACTCCTATGTGCAAACCTACGGTCAAGCTGGGGTTCTTAACAACTCAGCCTTTGCAGGTGAGGCGCACACACTGAAGCTTGGGAGGAAGGCCTTTCACCGCTGACCCAGGAACCAAAAGGAACAAGAGAAAAGGTTAGTTCACAGAAACATTTTGGTATTTGGATTTTTTTTTTTAAAGTTTAGGCTTTTGTAACTTTAAATGGTTCTGGAGAAAAGAAAAGTTATCAGCTCCATGAAAAGCAATATGTTACATTAAAGCTTATGGCTACAGGTAAATAACTAAATTGATCTACAATATAGACCTGTTTATAATCATTTTGCATCAAAACTTCATTCAATTGAGTACAAGTCTATTGGTAGAAGTTATCTAATTTATTAACAGTAATTGCTAAGCTATATAAAATATTAACACTAAATTCTGATTAAATAGACTTTGGTGGGAGGACCAACCTGAGCAACAAATAAGAATATATTATTTCTATGCTCCAAGTAAATAACGTTAAACAGACTGGTCTCTGTCTCAGTGGTATCTATAATAAAACAAAAAATGACATGTTTCAACCAAAGGACAGAGAGAGGGAGAGGAATGAAGATTCCTTGGTTTTCACTTATGCTTGATTTATTATCTCATAATATCCTATGAGCATAGCAGAGAGGGTAGCCAGGGTGGGGCGGGGGGGCAGAGGCTCTGAAATCAGAGAGAAGGAGGATCAGCTCAGTCACATTATGGCCTCGGGCAAGTTACCCAACCTCTCAGAGCTTTGGTTTCCTCCAAGAATTCCCCTTTCATTGGGTTCTTGGGAGGAATAAACAGGGGTAACATGTATATACTAAGTAACAAATACAACAAAAATGTAAATGTTTTTAGTGGCTAATATATTGGACAAGGATGATAAAAGATGGAAAGTAGATCTTGGAATTGGATGTGAATCTGGAAAAGAAGGAATCAGGTAGAAGGCTAAGAAAAAAGTTCTAGAGCTTTGAAAACCTACAGTTATTAGACAAAGCTTTAGTTAATTTGAATACTATATACCTTCAAATTCTGCTATTTTTTAACTTTGCTAAATGGAAAGCTAAATTATTTCATATGGGTTAGGAAAAACAGCAATGATGGGATTTAGAAGTAGGCAGACCTGAATATTAAGAAATTCTCTGTGTTCAAAAAGAAATGCTTATTTTGTGGCACATCTACAAGGTTATTTTCTCTAGCATTGTTTTGAAGAGCAAAAGTTTGGAAACAATACAAATTGTTAAATCAATTAGGTGAGTCATCCATTATCTGAATATTACACAGCTCTAAAGAATATTCAGTAATCTCTTATTAAAATGTGGAAAGATATACAGGAGTTTTTTACTTTTAAAAAGCAAGGATCAAAGCATTGTATATAATATTTTACTTCTTGAGTAAAATGCAGGGGGATTAGTCCCTAGATTTATATTTGCTGGTGTAAACATAAAGAAACTAGATGGATATAGAAATCAAAAAGTGGTTTCTGTGGGGCAGAGGCTGAGAAGACCCAGCAAACGGTGGGGAAGGACTCAAGGTACTTTTCACTGTATACCATTTTATACTTGCTGGTTTTGAGCCAAATGTAATTTCTATTTAAAAAATAAGTTTAAAAATGTAAATGCTTTTTAAAAGTGTGACTGCTTTAAAGGGGTGTTACTCAGAACTTAAAGTTATAAATCAGATTGTTTTATGCTGACACCAGCCTGGGGTCAGCTCAGATTAAGAAGATTGAGTTTCGATTTGTGGAAGAAATGGATGAAGAGGGCACAGGGTGCATTTTGAAGCATAATATATATCCCGAGGGTTCAGAGGGTGGAGGTGGGGTACATTGATGAGAGGATTTAGAATCTAAACGGTGTCAGATTAAGCAGAGGGGAGACGTGCCAGGATGGGAAAGGGTTGCAAGGAGAAGGGGAAAGAGGGCAAGGATCAACTCAAGTTTACTAAGCAATTCTGCCTGGGTCCCTTGGAGCTCTGTTGCACTGAAAATCAGCTCAATGCTGACCTTGCCAGGACCACAGAGCTAAAAGAGCACTTCATTAGCATTTCAATAGCACGGCGCAGACACCTGGTTATCACCACTCAAACCTGAAAGTGGGGTGGAAATAAAGATGGAGGACATGGACGAAAACTCTTAAGGATTTCTGCTTAACATCAGAACAGTTTCCTTGGCATGAAGTCAGAGCCATAAAATGGAGGTGATGGTAGTCAATTTTTTATCTGAGGCACCGAAGAACTCAGAAAGGGAAATAAGAAGGGGTCTTTTAGATGGTTTCACAAAAATAACCTTTGTGAGTTATGGACCAGTATTAAACAGAAGGTGACAGATGAGGACACAAGTGTTAACAAGGCTGAATCTTTCTAGAAGACAGATGATCATGGGGTCATTCCAAACCTGCACCCTACATTACGGATTAATGGGGGATTTGATGATTAATCTGTTGCTTGACACCGAGAATACTGATCCCAGGAAGATGACATATTGCAAGATGCTTCTACAGAGCCAAAAAAAGACAAACAACCTTTCTGTCTAGAACTGCTTTAATTAGACCACACTTTTGCAAGTTAAAAAAAAAAAGCCTAATAGTGGTGTGGTCACTTGCATCCTTTTTCCTTTCTCACAGTAAACAGCAGTTGTAGATTATTTGCTTAAAATAGTAATCATTTCAGGCAGAAGTGAGCTTCTCCATCACTATGCAGGGTTACAAATCTTTACCAAGTCATTCAGGGTCAAATTTTAGCATGTGCCATAGCATGTGGTAACATCTCTGATGGAAAATAAAACTAGTTATCCAGAAGGAAAATAACATATCCATTTGTCTGGCTTATTATTCTAGCTATGTACAACTTTATGAATCAGAAACGTTTAGGAAACTTTATACTGAGAAATAGAAAAAAGCTACAACATAAAAAAGTGTCATTTCACAAGAGTCCTGTTCATTTCTGAGATGAATATTGAGCTTAGGAGACCTATGATAAATTCGTGGACGTTTAAAATCCCTTGGAAGGTTTCTCAACCTCTGTGCTATTGACATTTAGGACTGGATATTCTTTGTTGTGAGAGGCCGTCCTGTGCACTATAGGATGTTAGGTAGCATCCCTGGCCTTTACCAGCTGGATGCAAGTAGCACCCTCTGGCTGTGACAATCAAGTGTCCCCTGGGCATCAACCACTGACTTAAGGGGTCTGCTCACTTTCTGCCTGACTGACTCCTCTGTGGCAGTTGAGGGAACACACCTCAGTCTCATTCAACAGAAATGAAACCAAACAAAGGAAGCAAATGAAATGGTTATCATTAAGCAAACCACCTATCTACCAAATGGATGTATTCCCCCCACCCCCTAAAACCAGCCCCTCCAGGCATTTCCTCACAGAATGCTGACAGAGAACTATGGATTTCAACCTCTCACACCAGAGGGGGAAAAATGCCAAAGAAAAGTTACCACCTGCACAGCAGAACCAGCAAGGAAGCATTCCTTGTTATCCGTTTCCCCCCAGAAGCTAAACACCCTGTGCTGCAGAACAGAACACGAGAAATAGCAAATGAGAAAAGAACTCACTGTTTCCGGAAGCGGCTTTTTGGAATTTCGTCAGGTCAACGTGTGGTGGTCTGCTGGGTTTTGGTGGAGGGGGGCCCAGGGTAAACACGGGAGGCAGGGGCTTCTGCCTGGGGGTGGCTGGAGTCTTGTCCCCCCTCTCCTTTTCTTGACCTTGGCCCCAAGGCCCTGTGGTTGTCAGCTTAGAAGGTGTTTTAGGAAACTTGGCAGGAGGTGCGCCAGAGGCCGACTCCTCCTGGTTCATTTTGCTCAGGAAGACGTTCTTCGCAGCATCCATCCTCCTCTCCTCTCTTTTCTCCTCAGCATTTCTGGGGAGGCCTGGAGCCCCTCTGCAGGCAGCAGGTTTCAGAACGACTCCAGGAAAAGGAGAACTGGACGTCTCGCCTCCATGCTCTTTACTCTCCGGGTCCTCCCTGGCTGGTTTCAAAGGGCCGGGTTTGGCCTTGGCCCCCAGAGCGGCCGGGGGGCCTTTCTGCGCAGCCGCAGTCTTGCTGGGGCCCTCGTCTTCCTGGGAGTCATCGGTGCCCGCGGCTGGCTTCTGGCCAAAGACGGGTTTGGGGAAGAGGGGCTTGGGGTCCAGGTCTTGTGAGGCCGACGTAAACCTGCCTTTGATCCCAGCCAGCTTTGGGAACACCGGCTCCGGTTCATTTTCCTGGGCTGGAGGATGAGACCCCGGCTTGGGGCCTGGTGGCTTGAAGTCAGGATCTTGGTTTACACTGTGAAGCGAGGGCTTATTCCCAGGAGGCCGGGGAAAGGCCGGTTTGGAATCTTCTTTGGGCAAGTTGGCGGGCTTGAGGCCTACGGGTTTCGGAAAGCCGGCTTTCGCCTCGGGGTCTTTAGCGGCCGAGCCCGCCTGCGGCCCAGACCTTGGGCCCACCCCCGGGGGCTTCAGAAACGGGGGTCTGAGCTCCTTGTCGGGCTTGTCCTCCAAGGTCGGCTTCACGCCCAGAGGTGGCTTTGGGGACCCAAACTTCGGCACGTTGCTCGGTCCTGCGGGAGAGCTGGCATTTCCCTGGTGGCCGAAGAGGTTCTTTTTGGCTTGGACTCCTGTAGGGGAGTTTTGGCCCGTGACCTTGAAGGGTCGGCTGTTGGCCGAGACCTCCTCCGTGAGGTTGCCCCCGGTGTTGAACCTGGCCATCAGGGACTTCACATCTGCTTTCCCATCCTGCAGGCACAGGGAACAAGAACTCGCTGAGAGCCAGAAGTCTCCCTTGCACAATTTAAAATACTACACTTTAAAAGGTTTCCTGGTTTGAGGCCTGCGGCGTCGCTGATTGGTTACCGAGAGATTGTAACATTTATCTTCCTCTATGGCAAAATAAGTTGTGACTTTCTCGAAGGGGGAGGGCTATATATATAGAACTTTTTTTTGGTTGTCTTAGACCGACTTGCCTTTTTTTTTTTTTTGGTTTTAAGTCATAAGTTACCTTTTCCCGTTTCCTCTCCCTGTTTCTCTAGCTAGCTTGTTGAATTTACTCTGAGCTTGGTATTTACCTGTTGTGTTTAATTTGAAAAAATAGGAAAGTGACTAACAAATGACTTCCATATTTTACAGCTGAGTCTCTTAAACAGAAACTGCACTTAAAAAGTGAAAGCAAGCTCTTCTGTAAATTTGTGCTGCCTGCTTTATACAGCATGGCCATGCTGGCCACCTCTATGGCTGGCAAGCCTGTTTCTTGTTCCCAACAACATTTAAGGTCCATGTGTTGGCTAATGGGGAGTGTAGCAGAAAACCCCACTCATTTTTATACGTAAACAATAAAATGAGTTTTTCCACTTATTGATATGTGTTTAGAGCTAATGATTCAACTGGAACCAGGCCAGTGGGCAGAGCACGCTCACTTTCAGGGGGCACAGATGGGGCACACAGGATAGGTGACATGGAAGCAGCGGGGACTGGCTGGGGACTCTCATTTCCAGCCTCTGGTTTCTCCAGCTTCGTCTCCTGCTACAGAGTCTGCCCTCCTTGTCTAGAATTAGGGTTTTACCTAGTAAAGAGAGTGGCAGTCACCTTTCTCTGTGACTATAATCCCATTTAATCTGGAAGAATTCATGGTGGGGTTTGCTTTTTCTCTCAAAAGCAAGGAGTTGAACTATTCTAGTTCTTTAAGGAATATTTGAAAATCTGAGTCTTAAAAAAAAATCATTGAAGGTACACATATGACCACAATAGTTTCCATTTTTGTGCCTTAACATTCACCTAGAAAATGTTTTCCTACCCTCCACCATCAGCTATCTCTGCCACGCACCCGAGCATATTTCATCTCTTAAGGCTCGACTCAAATACCACATAACCAGATCCTGTTCGTTTGGGAAGATCTGCTCCCTCCTCTCAACTCACGTAGCACACCAGGCACTTCTACGTGCCCTTGTGTTACATCCTTTCATCACTGTAAGAACCACTACTTAGTGTGTAAACTTGATTCTGAACCATGCACGTGATCTACCTTGCCCCATCTTCTTTTGGAGAACAGCATCATTTAACTCCGTTTCACAGGAAAGAGAACTGAGGTTGAAACTGCAGGAGGACATCATGGTAAGAGCATGGAAACTTGGATGGAATCCTAGTTGATTAGTGGGGCCTCAGTTGCCTATTCTGTACAATGGGGATAATAGCACGTATCCACCAGAACTGTCGTGTGCATTAGAAATGGAATTTATAACGTGCCTGCCTGGCCCACAGCACGAGCTCAAGAGATGGAAACTATTATTATTAGAAATGTTAAGTAGCATATTCAAGGGCTCACAGCTAGGAACTGTGAGGACAGGGATTCAGACTCAGGTCTGTTTAGGGCTCCAAAGTCCAGAAACTCTTTCCTCTTTGTATTCCCACAACACATGGAGCAGGCCCAGGCACCCCGGGTATTCTAATACGTTTGGGAAATTGTGCAGGATGGCACTGAGCCGAACACTGTGAATGGTGATTTTAAAATAAATGATGCCTTCAGTAAGAGTTTCTCTCTGTACCAAACTACAGTGTGTGTGTATCTGCAGGATGAAGGTAAGGACCCTAGGCAGGAAGAGAAAACTGGGTGAAAATAGCATTTTTCAACATTTTGCTCCTTTAATTTACTACTCTGTATCTGAGTTGCTGAAAATATCTTGTTTTCTACCTTGCCTCACTTGATTATTTTTAAAAACCATTTTAAATTATAGTTAATTTACAATGTTGTGTTAATTTCTGGTGTATAGCATAGTGATTCAGTTATACATATATGTATATATATATATTCTTATTCATATCCTTTTTCATTACAGGTTATTATAAGATATTTAATATAGTTCACTGTGCTGTACAGAAGGACTTTGTTGTTTTTCTATTCTGTACATAGTAGTTTATATCTGCCAATCCCAAACTCCCCTTTTATCCCTCCCCCCACCCCCGACCATTTTTTAATACTCATGATTTTCTCAAATCCTCAAGCAATCCCCAAAAGTACCAGGCGGGAAGACAGCAGAACCAAGGGGAGTTTGGGTGCTGGTGGAGGGAACAGGCGAAGACGGGTCCAGGGTTGTGCCTCCAGGGAGATCATAGCTGCAGAGGACTCCAAAAATTTGCTCCCCACCTGGAAGAAAGTCTATCTCTGGGGAAGAATCTTTTAGTCCTCACTTTATATTTTATAATTTATATTCCATATCTACAATTTAGTCCAGAATGATAAGAGGCTGCCTAACAGAGTGGTTAAGAACACAGACTTGGAAGCCAGACTGTCTGGTTTTGAGTCTGACGTAGGGCAAGGTACATAAGCTCCCTGGGCCTCAGTTTGCTCATCTCTATTATGGGAATAATAAAGTCATGTCATAGGGCTGTTGGGAAGATAAAACAAATTAATATCAAAGACCCTTTAAAGAATGCCTGGAACCTGAGAAGATTTCCTATTTTCATAAAGCAAATGAAGCCTTAGAAACCATCTAGTCCATCTCTCACTGCACTGGTGAGAAAACAGAAACCAAAGGAGGCAAGTGACATCTTATTTAGTCACGGCAACTTCACATCTTAAATTTCAGGGGGAAAACCCCATGAAATACAGTAACCCATTGTCAAACTGCACACCCTGATTTTAGTTTAGAAAATATGGAAGTGGTTGATTTGGAATTAGGATTTAAATCTCAGATGCCAATCCAAACCCAGGAGACAGTACAGCGTCATGGTTAACAGCACCGGCTCTGAAAGTATTGATTTGGGTTCAAACCGTGACTTTGCTACTTACTTGCTGTCTGATCTTCCAAGTTACTTAACCTCTCTGAGACTCACTTTTCTCATCTATAAAAGGAGAATACTAACAGTACCTATTTCTTACCTGGTTTTGTTTTTAAATTAGAATGAGATGAGTTAATGCATGTAGAGTTCTTAGATCAACAAGTGTATGTAATTACATCTAATGATTGTCTGCCATCATGGTTTTTCTTTTTCTTTTTTCCTAATTCGTTAGTCACATAACATTATTTTCTACAAGTGTCCAAATTCTGAAGTTATAATCATTAACATTTTGTCCTAATTTTAAATTAATGTGACTGAAACAAATATACCATTGGATAGCATAGTAGAGTTATTCTGTTTGAATTTGGTTTACCCTCACTCTGAAATTTTTAACGGAGAGTTGAAAGAGGGAAAGAAAGAGCCACAGCTTCCTACACGGGACACGCTGAAGAAACAGTAACAGCACCTGGGCTTACTAATATGTCTGGCAAATCAACAGCCCAGACTCTACAGCTGTCTCATCTCTCATACTGACTGCTTAGCTTTATAGTTTTTTGGTTATCACTCTTAATAAGCTTATTAGATTAAAATTTCAACATCCAGAGCTGCCCTTCATCCTCACAATAATAGCTAGATTTCTTCCTTAATGGTAATGATAGAAAGGCAAAAATGACTTAAAATTTTTTGACATTCTCCCATTCCAATTTCAATGTGGATTGAATTACTTATTCCATTTTCTAGGGCTCTTTTTTTGTCCTAGTAAAAGGAGGGTAAGAGTAGTGCATAGTATGATGAAGAGAAAAGTAAGCCTGCTCTAAGCCCTGACCCTCCAGACCCTTGTGCCCCAGTTCTAGGGGGATCAAATATCCTGACTTACCAGTACAGTACAAGTTTGTGCCTATTGTTCTGGAATAATTATTATCAATGCTCCCTTTTACTTTCACAATTGACCTGCTTTAAACAATAAACCGCATGGTGAACTTACCCAGTTCCTCTCTAGAGTCAACCGCTGTTATCAGTTTCTTATGTATATTTCTAAGCTGTGCATATACAAATATATATAAATAAATACACACACATCCTTTCTGTTCCCACTTTTTGCACAAACAGAAACCCCTGCTTTGCACCTTGCCTTTTTCTTGAACTGATACTACATTGCTGCTCACCGGCACAGCTGGATATCTCATCAGCAACCACTCGGATTGGATTGCTTGGTGCCGGTGCAATTCTGGTTGTTAAATATTTTCATTATTAGCTCTGTGTTTTCCCCTTGACACTTAATCCATATCAGTGCAAATTATTTGCACAATCTTTTATAAAATTAGACTTAATTTCTTTATTTTTTAGAACAGTTTTTGATTTACAGAAGAATGAGAGGAAGACAGTACCGAGAGTTCTCACATACTTTACATCCAGCTTCTCCTGTTATTAACACCTTACATTAGTTTGCGGGACCTCTTTAACTTTTAAAGATTTAAATATTGGGCTTCTGCTTATTCTTCAGAAGAGAATTCTTCATAATCTAGAAGACCTCAGAATTTTAAGATATTTTAAGTAAAACTCTTTCATCTCAAATTGCTTGAAATTTCTTGTCCAAAGTCATTTGAAGGAATTCGCTATTACTTCCATCTGTTAATGTATTTGTAATAGAAAAGGACAAGTTTGGCTTCATATTAGATCTGTTCTTTTGACTTTAACCCTATACTCTGTTTCCTAGGCTTAGTCTTGGTGGTTCTGCATCTTTTACAATAGAATGTTGCCTATAGCCTGAAATATACAGGATAGCCTATTCTCAAGGCTCTCACCTTTAAGGATATTAACTTTTCCATTCATATAAAGATAACAAGTTGCAGAATAGGAAATAACATTTGTTTTGTTGGAGGTTTACAGGGACACCATGACCTGACCCATGCGGACAGCTGTAAGAACAAAGGATTCCAAGAACAAAGAATTCCTACACCAAG